GCCAGCTCCACATCACTTGTGTTGGGGGCACCTGTGGTGGCCCAAGTGGGGCTAGGGTGATCCATTGTCCTCCCAGGCTCTGTTTTCAGCTGCGACGGCCTCCCAAGCTCCATTTTTGCTGGCAGAGGCACCACAGGCTGGTTCTTCACTGTTTCCAGGGTGGCCTGTGTGCCAGATCTAAGCACCCCACAGGCAGGATCCAGCCTGTGAGCCTTTTAATTTGACACTTCTGTTCTAACCCATATCTTCAAACCATCCATCTAGAAATTTATTTTTATTGATTTCATCTAATATCCGTCCTTGTCACCATCTGATTTTCTTTTTCTCACATTCTACATTCCAGCGATCCCCAGCCTTTCTGGCTCCACAGACTGGCAGCAGTGGTGGCGGTGGTGGGGCGAATGAGATGGTTTCACACATGCAACCTAATCCATGCTCACCCATTATTTGCATGGCCCAGTTCCCAACAGGCCGCAGCCCAATACTGAACCCCTGCTATATTCTACCTTAAACAGTCAATATTCTGAACGGACAATTCTGATTTTGTAAGAAGGTAAATTAAAAGTACATGATTTTGTTTAGTTTGTTTTTTGTTTTGTTTTGTTTGTTTGTTTACTCAGAAGTTAGGCTATCAAGTGGAGGAATAGCACAAGAAAGGGGTAATTTAGCCCTTCCTATCTAGAAGTCTTCTCCTCCCTCATGTTTTTCTGCTCTTGCTTGGTTTCAGATATACCTATCGAGAAAATGTCCAATATATTGTGGAAGATGTTCTTCATCAGAGGTGATACCCATTATTCCACCCAAGCTTGCTTTATCTTCATCTATCATTTTAATCATAGCATGGAATTCATCTCTGAAAATTTGTAAAGATTTTTTCAGAAGTGATTTGCCATTGTCCCTTTCCTAGGGCTGAGAAAAATATGACTGGCCCAAGGTCACCCAGCTGGCCTTGTGCCCAAGGCAGGACTAGAATTTATGGTGTCCCGGTTTCTAGCCTGATGTCTTAACTACTACACCAAACTGGCTGTCTACATTGCATATTTGTTATTTTTTAAGATTTTGATAACTGTAATGCAACCTATCTCTATGTATTACATTGTATGCATTTATATACATCTTTCTATAATGGCAGTCCATAGGATGGATGGATGGATGGATGGATGGATGGATGGATGGATGGATGGATGATTTATTTATTTATTTATTTATTTTATTTATATTTATATTTATATTTATATTTATATTTATATTTATATTTATATTTATATTTATTTATTTATTTATTTCTCTCTCACCTTTATTATTTTTACAAATAACTCAAGGTGGCAAACATACTTAATGTTCCTTCTTCCTATTTTCCACAAAACTGTGAAATGAGTTGGGCTAAGGAAAAGTGACTGGCCCAAAGTCACCCAGCTGGCATTCATGACTAAGGTGGGATGCCTTAACTATTACACAAGATTGGATCATTGGACTCTCAAAGAGTCCATAGTCCAAAAAGATTAAGAATCCCTGTCATACTGTAAATACTCTGCAAGTTGGCTAGCACCTTTAAGAGTAATTACTATAGTCCTAGATATATATGTTCAGGGCTCCTGGGGAAAAAAATGGAATGTCTCCTTAAAAAAATCCATTCATGTCTCAATGTTAATGTTCAGTATGGTTTTTTTAGGTGAAATTTGGTAAGGATCAGGGGCGGGTTTCAAAACCCGTCACTATCGGTTAGCTCGTGAGCGTGCACATGCTCACGTGCACATGATGCTTGTGAGCATATACAGAAGCTTCTACACATGTGCAGAAGTGTCTGGGTGGGTGGGCGGAGCCTCCCGCCACCGCTACCGGTTCACCCAATCTGGGGCAAACCGGTAGCAACCCATCACTGGTAAGGATTCAAAAAGAACTTAATGATACTCAAGCCCATCTCAGCTTAAGCATTTAGACCCTGCACAGGTTATATTAAAACAGGAGACTGTTCTGTTTTCACTGCATAAAACCTAAGCCTACCAGCAGCTATTTCAAGGATAAGGGTAATAGTCCCCCCAAAATAAATGTCCTAGAAATCAATATAGCCATCCCCAATCTTGACATTATTGCCTTCTCTCATCAAACTCATCTATAATGCCATTTATTTTCATGCCATTCCAGAGTCCTTTTCCCATTCTTTATCCACAAAAAACACCCTTAAATTTAATAGGATACAGGTCTTGTATTTTCTACTCCTTCTGCACATTCCTGGACCAAGCTTTGCATTTGTTTTATGGTCTTCTTAACACCACCGTGTTTTTGAAAATACCAGTGTGGAAAACTGGGGAATCATCAGCCTTTAAGCCACAAGATATGCATATGAGATCCTAAATGCTCTTTAAAACACTGTTAAAATCACAGCCTCTCAAATAGCAAAGCCATCTATTAAAGATACCGCTCCAGGCAATGTCACAAGTTTTGGAGTAGGTTTTTGTGTGTGTTGTGCATGCTTGACAATGTAAGGGACAGACAAGATTGGGTCATCAAAATTAATGTGTTTTGTTCTTTTTATTGCATTTGATCACAGCATCTTTAGTTAATAAAGGTTTTGCATGCAAAATCTTTCAATATTCTGTTCTAAAAGAGAAAATTCATACAATTCAACAAGTTTGGAAGCTGAGGAGAACGTGGGGAGTGGAAAAGACTACAGGAGAGTAAAATATTGTGATTAATTTATCAACCCAGATAAATATTAAGCTATGCACACCCGGAGGCTCTCAATGAAGTTATAAAACAGGTGTTAGTCTAAAATGGCTTCATTGTGCAGGCAGTAGAATCAGTTTGTAATTATGAATTAAAGTTAGATCAGTTTTTAAAAAGAAAAATACAAAGGCAGGGAGTCTGATTAAATCCATTCCATTTGGAACCTGGTTTGTTTTTTTTAATCTTAAAAGAATATTTTAACTTTCTGTTCATGATTTAGTGGAAGATCCGGCATTGGAAATTGATGGGGAGGTAGTGAGAACTATAACCTGAGTAGGGAAATCCAGAATCCCCAAGATTATATCCATATTTGGACTTTAGCAGCCATCTCGGGAAAAGCATTTTCATCATTCACATGCCTTTGGCAGGTTCTAGAAGCAGTTACTATTTTTAGAATCCAAAACAAAACATCTTGTTCAATTATTTGTATAGGCCTATTAATGATATGCTTTTTGGCAGGTCCTGGATATGGAAATCTAATTCTAAAAAGCTACTGAATGTTGATGGCTAACAATATATTAACACTAACAATATATTTCAATCAGTATTAATTTAGACTTTTATCAAAAAGCAGATTGCAGAAGGAAAATTTAGAACTGATTTCCCTGAAACATCTGTAACGGAGATGAATTAATGAATATGAGGTTTATTTCTTAATATCCCCTTTTCATTGGCAATGTAGTATGACTAGCCCTTTTTTTTTTACTTTATTGTGTGATGGGACATAATGCTTCACTTAGAACATCTAAAATTCATGAGGAAATCCTGTCAAAGTCACCTGCAAAGAATCTTCTAACCATTAGCATCTGGCACAAGTCATGATGAAATCACTTGTGACAATTACATCAATACCCATTGCCCTCTGGAACAGCATTCCCCCAAAGATTTGGGACTTCCACCCCGATGCTTGAAACTTCAAAAACCTGGCTCTTTTCCCAGGCCTTGGAATAAGGTGGGTGTTGAGCCTCTGTCATTTTTTAATTATACTTCATATATTTTCTTGGAGCTGTACAGTATATGATTCTTTTTTCTACTTTATTATTCTTGATTTTTACATTGTAATCTCCCCAGAGTAATTTGGTATTGGACAGCCCTACATTCAACAAAAGAAATAAAAATAAAATTTAAAAATCCACTTTAAGTCATTAAACTGCCTCTATTCTTTAGGTCCAAATGCTTTAGCGAAAAGAGTGTGAAAGTCAAATATAGTTTAGACATGTGATTCTCATATACTCAACTGAAGTGTACAAAGGGCTTTTGAACTGCTATAACCAAAATGCATAGCAATGGGTCTTGGCTCATAATATCAGCACTAAGAATACCATGAGCCAATATTGGGGATATTATAATAGGTTATTTTATTTAGTGTTTCTAGCATATACATAGTAGCAGTTGTGTGTATTACAGCAGAACCTCTGGTCACGCTTCTGACCACGACCAAATCGGGTTCCAACCAAAATATTCACAATTTTTTTTTTTTGCAGCCAATTTCCTCTTCTGCGCCATTTTTTTTTTTTTTTGTAAGCGCCAAATTTCCAAAATTAGGTTCAGGTCACGACCAAATTGGTTTGCAACCAAAGTTATGGAATGAATTATGGTCATGACCAGAGGTTCTACTGTATGTGCTTATATTTAAGTATCATACAAGCCTACACTAAAACAAACAATTGATGGAAAATATATTACTATCAGTAGTAACAAATAATTAACCATGGGCCTAAAAGGTTCATCCCATGATGCCATATTACATAATAATACACATAATACACGTTATACAGTTCTTAACAAACTAATCCAGAAAATGGAAAGAAGGAGGCAATGGAAGAGCACAGAAACTGGACAGAACTGAAAAAAAGACAGGACAAAGCAGAACGAACAGAAAATGTGGGAATATTGTGGCAAAGTGAAGCTCAGCTAATGGAAAGCCTATTGGCAGCATCTTTTTGCTGCCTTTTTAAATACGGTAGTTGCTTAAATGCTGGAACTGTTTAAACTAGAAATAGTGAAGGTGAGCCTAAGGTGACCCTGCCATTACAAGGCAGTTTATTAGACCCAAGAGACTCCATGACAAAATAGACACAATCAAATAAAAAATGTAACTTTTTAATTTTTTCCCAGACATATTTTTCCAGATGCTTTTTTCCCAAAGTACAGAAACTCAAAGAGTAACTCGAAAGGAAACACTTCTCCCTCCCTCTCTATTTTTCCAGAGAGAAAATCTTATATAAGATATATTTGATGGAGCTTCTGTAAATGAATGAATTGTGTATGGGTATGAAGCAGGCAACTCAATCTTTATTGATAAACAAAACCAATTAGCCATTTATTCTTCGGCATTATAAGTTTGCTCTATCGGTTTGTTCTTTCCAAATGATTCTTTGATTTAGTTTTCTGCAGAAAAAGAAAATACAGTGAAGGGGAATTAAATTACATAAAAGTCTTCACAAGTATTCCTTACTTAATAAAAGGCATGCAACATATTTTATGATTTCCGCATTCATTCAACAAAGCTGTGGTGTTTGTAATTGGGTATATAAAGCCATTCATCTCCTCATGCTGTCTTTTAGCTGAGTGAGCCCCAAAGCATTGTCCATTCTGTTACTGCTGCTGAGATCTGATCAGCATCTTTATAGTTTATCAGCCTTGGGGTTCAATTTTGTTTTGGATGCTTTTATAAATGAGCACAATCACTGGTGAATCTGTTCTTCCCAGATTGCAAAGAGAAAAATTGTGTGAAGAACTTTAGTAGATTACCATGTCACTGAGGATGAAGTACAAGCACAAGGCATCAAAAGTCATCTTACAGATTATTCTAGAAGATGTACATTTTCGGTTTTTATTTCACTAAAATTAGATGATTGCCTTAGTTATTATTGTTTTTGAAGCTATATTCTATCCTCAGGCTAGGTGTATGATCAATGCGCTATCCAGAAAAATCAATTGTTTCCAAAGCACCATTTATTTAAGAAATAGAAAAGGAGAAAATGGGAACAATATATAGGAATATGAAGTTGATATGTTTGCTTGTTTTTTTAATCTTGTTAGGAATAGACTTGTATAGTAAAGTCTTTTAAGAAGCTACAGAACAGTAATTAATTATTTGTTGTCACAATGCAAAGGGGCTCAGGAAGTGATAGAATGAGATCTACTGGTAGATTAAGTCTGTGCAGAATTTAAGATTGAACACCCCGCCCCCCAAAAAGTGTTTTACATAGAACTTGCCTGCAGCTCTTTAAAAGTATGCCTTTTTCTTGTATTGCACCCTTGCTGACACATGAATCCAGGAAAAGATGCATTTGGTTGAAGGAGTTACAGGCTGGTACTATATTCACGAGCAGTTTGGTGTAGTGGTTAAAGCATCAGGCTAGAAACTGTGAGACTTTGTGTTCTAGTCTGGCCTGAGACACAAAGCCAACTGGTTGGCTTCTTGACAAGAGTCTGAAAACTCTTGTCAAGGAAACTGCAGGAACTGGTCCAAACAGTTCATCATTAAACAGGGAGAAAAAAATCTACCTTCCATGTAATCCACATTTCCCTTTAAATCCAAATCACAACAAAGTGGTAATATCTATAAAATTTACAGTAGAAGTTGGTGAATGTTAAAAAAAAAAAACTGCATGTAGATCAGGGTGTAAGATGAGCTCTTCTGGCTGCTTACTTGTTATTTGCATTTTACTGAAAGATGGAGTTACCTATTTGGACCTCTGGAACATGATATATTGATTAATTCTAGTTGTGATTTCTTTTTAAATTAATTTGATTGTTTTGGTTGTTTTCTGGTTTTAACCTTGCTTATTATCAGGATCATAGTAGCAAAACGGATGGCCATATTAATTAAATAAATAAATAAATAAATAAATAAATAAATAAATAAATAAATAAATACATTTGTAAATTAAAACTAAATAATGATACTACTAATAAAAGGCCATGGTTGGCTTTATGTTAATAGCTTGTCATTTGTTTCTTTTTCATGTTTAACTAGCTTATGTTAACCCATTCTTTGTGTAATTTTTTAAATTACAATTCCTGATCTGTGGCAAATAAATGCATCTGATTAGATGCATGCCTTGTAAAATGATTCCCTGTCCTACTTCTTTTCTTTTCTTCTCCGTTCCTTTTTCTTTTCTATTGACTCCGCCATTACATTATTATTTTTTCTTTATCTACTAGATTTTAGAAGGTAGAACATGGAAACCGCCTGGGTCTCAGGGCTGTCTTAACGCATGGGCCTGATGGGCACTTGCCCGTGGGCCCCACGAACATAGGGGCCCCATACAAATCTGTGTATCTTAACCCTTCAACGCACCTTGTATCATAGAAAATACAGCAACATATTTATTACATTTTACTGCATTTTTATTAATACTAACATGCAAATATATATTTAATTTTATCAACCATTTACATTTTTATTCCTGTGAGCAGTTGTTATAGGAGCCCCAGTATACTGCTTTGCCCAGGGCCCATAATGCTGTTAAGATGGCCCTGCTGGCTCTGCGTGGGAAGGAACCAGCTATGACTTAACTTTAGCAAGAGATAGTAACTCTGGTATTTTTTGTTACCTGGATCTGGAGAACTCTCAACAGGACTGCACTCCCCTGGAGTTGGTGTACAATTTAGGGATCTTCCTAGATTTGCTATTTCTGCCCAAGGAGCAGGTAGCAACTATTCCTATGGGGATCTTTGCACAAATTCTTCTTGAGAGACAGTTGCCTCTTAGAAATTGCCCACTTTCTGTGCTCTTCCATTGCCTCCTTCTTCCCATTTTCTGGATTAGTTTGTTAAGTACTGTATAACATGTGTATTATGTGTAATATGGCATCATAGGATGGACCTTTTAGGCCAGAGGTTAATTATTTAATGTTACTACTTATCACTGATAGTAATATACCCTCCATCAACTGTTTGTTTTAATCTAGGCTTGTATGATACTTAGGATACTTACTTACGGATCATGCCTTGAGATTCTGGAATAAAAGATGAAATCTAAAGATTAGTAATAGTTATTATGAAAATAATGTATGTTTTATTATTTATCGGAGTACTTAATTGTCTATAAATGTTAGCCATTGATGTTCTACAAAAGTCGGAACATATATACAACATCAAAATAGGAAATTTGTTACAGAATGGGGAAAAGTAAGGATTTGACATGCTAGTGGTTGTTTTCATTTGTTGCAAGGTATCTTTTCACTTTTATCTTCTAGTCCTATTTCTAGAAAATGCATGAAGGTCATCTGCATTTGTATACTCCCTAATTTAGTTCCATAATGTGGGCTCTCATCCTGAACAAGGATATATCTGGGAAGTGTGGGTGGAGAGAAGAATTATGGCTGAAATTCTACACTTTAGTTACTGCTTGGTATTAACTTAAAAGAAAAGCTTCAAAGAAACTTTTAAATATTTCTGGCTGGCAGTCAAAGAAAACCCTCTTAAGTTTTACAAGACTAAGTGAAGTCTAGTTAAGTCTTTTTTTTCTCCCCAACTTTTTGAAATCAATTTTGCTTCTCTTGTAATTGCCACAGGTCTGATCTATCTTATCAAACATCCATCTTTTTCTCTTTAATAGGCTCATAGATGGAAGGGAAAATCCAGCCCAGAATCCCCATACAGGATGTGAAATCTCTGTAAAGTGTTGCTATTTAATTGTCACAGCATTCAAATAGGAAACTATCTGCTACCTATTAATGATTTTCCTCTTTGTCTAGAGACATTAATTACATTTTTCTGCTGTTGGGTTTTTTCCCCTGATTTGGGGGAAATTGTCATCTAGAAATATGTCCAGTTATGGAGTGCAAACTTTGAGAAATCCATCATCACCTGACCCGAAGGTTTATGTTCCTTCATGTTGCTATAAAAGATCAATTCACAAAATAACCATGAAGAAAAAAAATTATGTCCTGAAGTGTCCAAGTGGTGTATTGAAGAAAATCCATCGAAGCTAAGAATTATTCAATTGCATGGATAAATAAAATCACCCTCATCAAATAAATCTCTTTTAAGTATCTGCTTGAGAACATGGCATAGGCAGGCAGATTTAAATCCTAAAGTTCATAAATGTTCCCATTCAAACTACTAAGGATATTTCTACGTAAGAACTTTGAGATAATTCAGAAGCAGCTCCAGCACTTTGTGATCCAATACAAACTCTGTTTGAGTATTGAGCTGCTTTATTTCTCATTCAGCTGTGGTGTGTTTTAAACCACAGTAATCTTTTCCTTGAAGCACTATGGCTCTGGGCGGTTTGTGGGCAGTTTGCAGTCCACTTCCTCATTCACAGGAACTACCATGTCTCTTCACTCAGGATTCAAAAAGGCGTTCCAAGAGGAAAAGGTGCTTTGATGGTTTCTCAGCATTTCCTCATAGGAACCAGTGGGATTTATTTATTGCACATGATCTGCCAAATGTACACAAAATGAAGGGCACATTTCTGTGCATGAGTGCATGTTTTGTGCATGTCTGTGCATACACACATATGCACATATGCAAGCATTTTGCTTTTCTTGTGCCTGAAGCAGGGATGAGGGGGGGAAATCTTTATGGTATCAGCACCTGTGCCAGATAAGGGCAGTTATTACCTTTTATTTGCTTCTTATGAATGTTCTTACTGAGATCAGCAAGAGTGAAGATGATCACATCTGTTGAGGGACTGCTATACACAGAGATTGTATGTTTGATCATACAGAGACACACATATATGTCTTTTATAATATGTCAGTATTCATTTTATGTGATCAATTTATTATTTCAAATACATATCTTTGTACCTGACCAATAACACATCTTTATTAAAACTCTCTACAGCTGCTTATTAACCATGTTTTCTATAATTATTCAGAATTATTTCCATAGAAATATTTTGTGTAGCATCATATTGTGTGGCATATTCTTCTCTCAGTTTAAGACCGGGTGACAAAATATAGAATGACTGCCACTCATATATTAGTAAAACTATTGGCCTAGCTTCATCCAATCCCAAGAGGCATGGGTATTGTGATATTATTGTTTGTGAATTTCTGCTATTGAAAAGTATAAAATGCATTTGAGATCAGATGAACTAACTAAGCTGGGTAAGTTAGCACCACGACCAGTCGTCTTTCTTTATTACTATTTCTTAAGAACAAAGAACCAGTTGATATAATAGAAGTCTAGAAAGAATAAGATGAAGCAATAGGAGCTCTTAAAAATATTAGAAACAAGAAGTTGGCTCTTTGGCAGGGGTGAAATGCTCCCGGATCAAACCGGATCACCCGTTCCGGTAGCAATTTTTCCATGATTCTGTAGCAATCACCGCCCAGGTGTCATTACTTCTTGGTTTTAACCAGGAAGTAATGTTTTTTCACCTTCTGCACATGTGCAGGTTTTGTGCATGCGCAGGTGTGTGCGTGCACATGATGCACGTGCACAAAGCGAGCATGTGCACACAGTGCGTGCGCTTCCAAACCAGTAAGGAAGATAAGTAGATTTCACCCCTGTCTTTGGCCTCTATGCAGAGAATGGGATACGAAATATTTATATTACATTTTAGAAACTGACAGTGTTTCTCTATATTTATTCTCAAAAGTAAGTCCCATGGAGTTATATCCAACTAACAGATGCAACACTGAGTTTTCTGATATATTTTTTTTATGAGGTGTATCATCTTCATAAAGAAAAGAAAAATGAAAAAGTCTCTTAGGAAAAAGAAACTGCAATTTTTCATCTTACCTAAGATTGGGGAATTCAGGTGTTTTCCAATCATGTCATTTTTTTCATTGTCCTCATATGCCTTCATTCCTATTATCTTCCACGTCAAACTCAAACCGCACATTTAAATGCATACATAAATGCAGTTTCTCACAACATATATCTTTTAAAATTAATATTGATTGACATGATTTCATTTAAAATACACTTTGAAAATTAATTGTTATTTATTAGATGAGAGATGTTCCTCAAACATTCAGGAAGTAGGAAAGAAAGTTCTCAATTCTGACCCACGCTTTAGTATTAGAGAAATAAATCATTTACATTTAATATTCAAACATGTACTGGTTAGTTCCCTCAGTTTTACCAGAGATTATTTATCAGCCAGAGGCTGGGAGAACAACTTCTAGACCAGACTATACATATCCGGATAGAGTTGAGCACCAGTGCTTATTAAATTTCATAAACACTGTAGTTCTCTCCATATTAGAAATACAGATTCCTGGGCACTGTCCATACAGAGAATTCTAAAACAGCAAGAGAAGAGTTCTAGCCTAAAGGTTTGTTGGTGTTTTGATTTCCTTCTTCTGATACCGAGTTTCATAAATGCCAGGAATATTTCGAGGAAGAATCATCTACTTTATCATTCTTCCACCTGCTTGAAAACAAAAAACAACAAAAAAAAAAAAACCCCAAAAAGGTTTACCTCCTCGTCTGCTGCTTCTTTGAAGCAGGCCTCGGGGGCAAAAAGCATTAGGAAAAACTCAAGCGTTATAAGAAAAGTTATAGCATAAATTGTCTCGTTGTTGAGGATTTTTCTTCAAAATTAAGTCAGGCAGGCAGGGGATCTTCAGTGATAGCTTGGGAGAGTGGGAAATAAAGTCTGGTTTACATTTGATATTGAGGGTCAAATTGTACCATTCTAGTAACTATCTGTCCATCTATTCACATCATTTTCTTATTAGAAAAAGAATAAAATCCTAATATAGCAAATCTAAGTGAAATACTGACAGTTATCTCCAAGTATTTTGGGAGTACTGAATTGGAATACCAAAATGAGAGAGCTTGGTAACTGGCTCATTTCATATTTTGTTCCAACTAGTCCAGTGCATTTTTCTGCTGCCAACAATAAAACCCTAGATTGTAAATCTACATGGGCTGCAGAGAATATTCAAGGCGCCCATAGAGAAAAGTAGGCATTTTTCTCTGAAGGGAAGAAAGATTAATATGCTAGTGTCGATCTGGTGAGAAGAACCTGTTGCAGACCGCTCTGTCCATGGAAGATGTAATAGTAGCTGAGAAGGCCTCACTTATCAGTTCCAGTTGGAAATGTATCACTTATTTAATTATCTAAATTATTGGCCACCTAAATCCAATGTTTTTGAAAACAAGGGGAGGTGGGGAAACATAACAACAGCTAAAAATATTAAATCAAATGGACAACCCAGACTAAAATGATCTAATAAACAAAACAAACAAAACAAACCACGGGCCTTGGGCAAAAAAACAACCACAGACATATGTGAGGTTTTCCTCACCTCACAATTAGGAGGCTGTGAGTTCGATCCTAGGTAGAGGCAGATATTTGTCTCTCTGGGCACACTGAGAATATATCAGCTGAACAAAACTCTGCATTGGCAACAGGAAGGGCATCCGGCTATCAAAACACTCTGCTAGCTCCATTCAGTTGCCCAGACTCTACCTGGCAAGGGATTATGGGGTCATTAAAAGATGATGATGACATATGTGAGGTTTTCAAAGCTTTCTGGAATTTAGGACATACCTAATCCCTGTAGGGATGCTGGAGGATGGAGATCACTGACCTAATCCCTGGAGGATGCTGGAGGATTGGAGGCCACAATCAAGGAGGCCCGATTCCTTAGTCCCTCAATATCACAGTATTTAATGGAGGAGATCTGGAATATACACACTCTGTTGAAACATACTGAGCAGCCAGACAACGGTTGTAGACAAGTGGTCCCTTAGATAACCAGGTTCTATGCCATGCAGGGTTTATAGGTAATAACCAGCATCAGCCAATCTTGCTTACATAGCAATGATGGCAAACAGGCATATTGAGAGGGGGCTGCTACTGATCACACCATTACAATTTTAACCAGCTGTAGCTTCTGGGTGGTCTTCCAGGGCTGCCCTATGTAGAGCCCATTGTGATAATCCAATTATGAGGTGACCAGGATAGAAATAACTCTCTAAACCACAGGTGTCAAAATCACGGTGTCACGTTGCCGTCACGTGACATTTTGCAACGTTTTCCCCATTTGTGGAGCTGGGATGGGCGTGGCCTGTGCGTGATGCATCCAGCCCGTGACCCGCCAGTTTGACAACCCTGCTCTAAGGGGTTTAGGTTGACTAAACTCTTATTTTGAAACCCTAGGGCTTCAGCCCATTAATTCATTTTTTAATTATCACAGCATGAGGGATAAAATGTCAGAGAACTTGAAGGTTTAATATGATAATAGTCATATTTTGAAATTTCAGTTACAAGATTACTTATAATACATATGCAGCAATGCTGTGTACTGTAACTAATCCTGTCACTAATCTTCTATGCCTCCCTCCCGTCAGAGTGAAATCTGAGAGAATTTTATTTTCAACTTAAATCACTAAAAAGGAGGGGGTCAATGTTGAGCAAAATCCAGTAGACCCAGGTGATAGAAAGCATATACTAGCATTTAAGAAGATTCCTACCATCAAACCTCTACATAATCTTGTAGGTGAGAATTGATTCGAGACAGAAGCTCCTTTGCAATACATCACCTGATAAGCAATAGGCAGAACTTCTGATAAGACTGGGCAGCCTAGAAATGTGAATAATAATTAGGTAACAGTTACATAACTTTAGAAAGTTAGCACCCACCCCTCTCTTAGAAGAATGAAATATTTTGAGAAATATTAAAAAGGCAGAATATTATATTTCCCTGGATGAGAAATGGAAAAACATGCTCTTGGAAAGCAGCCCCACCTTCCTTAATAGCCCACAGCAGATGTCAGCACTTAAGAGATAAAGAGATAGATAGCTCTATTCATAAGAAAATACCCTCACCCAAGATCCAACAAAGGTAGGATTAGCTGTCACTCAAGATCCAAACCAGGACAAAGCCATTAAGACATAACAGGAATTGCCCAACACCTTTTCAGAACACAAGCCCCTTCATTGCATCATCTCAGTTGCACCACCCCCAGCAAACTTCAACCAAACCTGGGAGCTCAGACAACCTATAGAGCCAGCTATGACCCTTACAACAGCCAATAGAATATGTGTTCTTGCACAGGAACAGGAAGTTCAAGTGCAAAGCCCAAGAGAAGGTATAACCTCCCTACTCTCAACTCCCTTACATAACTCCATGTGTTCAGCTGCACCAGAACTACAAACATGTGGTTCTGTTCATCAATAAATGGACCCTCTTTCGAATCAGCCCCCAGCCTCTATTTTGACTCCAGTGCCTTTCTCCCGGATTGGAACTGAACCAGATGGATATTTCTTCCAACACAACTATATTAGGTTCCTGGTGTCCAGTGAGCTTTGTTGTTTTCTTACAGAACTTTCCTTATCAAGCTAGATAACATTATCAGCAAATCAAGTTCAGCAAACACTAAGAACCCAACAGTTCAATCCTGAGCTACATATATTCTCTATTATTAGAGAATGATGAGATTTGGAATATTCACATTATAATGAAGTGATACATTTGGGGGGGAAAAGCTGAAAATGTTTGCCACGCAATAAAAACAGTTGACATTATAAAGTAAGTATTTGAGATAATTTCCAACAGATGCCCATGATTATGTGACAGAATGGTTACAGTGCTATTATAACTATAATTAAAAGCAATTATTACACACGCAGTCCCTTGAAAACTATTTATTTAATTAGATTTCTTTCCTTATTTCCAAAGCTAACAAAGACAAGGAAAGAAACATATGTACAATTACACATAAATTTGTTAGACATAATAAAATTGATATTTAAGAATTTTTTATCTTTAAGCTTAGAGGAGCTTTGTTGCTTTCAAACTAAGAAATTAATATACCTCATAATAGTGAGATAAACAAATTCAGTTTTTAAGAGTATCAGAGGAAAAAGCATGCCAATCATACAGTATTTGCAAAAAAAAAAAAAAAAAAAATCGTATGAAGTACCGGTATGTAGGAATGCTAGAATCTAGTTTTCTAAAGAGTTAAAGACATATAATAGATTTTGGGGTTAAACACAGATATATAAACTAAAACCAATGACAATTAAATCAATCACTACTAATTTAAGTCCTCATGACTTTAGTGGAACTACTTCACTTGTTTAACCCTCTATTCTCTGTACTATTGCATGTATTAACAAAACAGTCTCCTCTGTAATGAAATATTGCTTATATCTCAGAGAATCAGGAAGACAAGGAAAAGCCTATTTTAATATTACTACTAAGGCACCAAAAAGCTCTAAGCAATTTCTTATTAAATATTTAAATCCTAGAAAAACAGAAGACTCAGAGTTGCAAAACATTATCAGCCTCACAGGCAAAGGGAAGGGGGAAAAAATTCCCTGCAACTTATCACACAGCTTTTTGCCCTCATTTTGAAAACCAAATGTAAAAGAAAAATTACAGCTGCTGACCATTATTATTAGAAACTACAAAAGCCACAATATGTTGTGCAAGTGAAATATATGGAACACATAATAATAAATCAAGGGAGGCACTGAGATGGGCAGTACTAATTTCAACATCTTCATTGAGCAGGCTCTTTTTTTCACGGTTGACCAACTATTTTCTGCCGAAGTAGCACATTGTATCATAGAAGAACAGACCCACGTTGCACTCCTTGCAATGTTTCTAACTTCTGTGGTCTCTAATAGAAATATATTTTCAAAGGAGAATGATGGTATTCACTGTTATATGCATAATGTCCATCATCATCATAAGCCATTCAGTGGTGTCCAACCTAGCCACTCTATGGATCAGCACTCTCCAATCTCCATGTCCTTCTGTCCCTCACCATCTCCTTCAGCTCTGCCATGGTCATCCTGGTGTCATCCTTTATAATGTCTACAAAGGCCCTTTCTCCTTTTTCTGCTGATCTCTCCCAGCATGATTGACTTTTTGAGTGAGTCCCTTCTCATGACATCACCAAAGTATGACAGCCTCTATTTGCCTATCTTGGCTTCAAGTGAAATTTTTGGTAAGGTTCAGTCTAAGACTTGTTATTTTTGCAGTTTATGGGTTGCGTAATAGTCTCCTCCAGCACCCCAGTTCAAAGATGTCCACCCTTCTCCTGTATGCCTTTCTCATAACTAATCTGCATTAGTCCTTAGGCAATGTTAAATCCGTAACAACTGTGAATGGTTTGTGATGATCTTTTTCTCTTAGTCAAGTTAAAGGAGAAATATTACAGAGAAATGGGGCAATGGATACCAAGAAGGTATGCTCCTTAGGTTCTGTAAGAAGATTGTGCTTAAGGAATGGGACCTGAAGCATGTTCACTCTAGCTGACCTGATCAGATGGGTAGAAACTTATGGCGAGAGGCAGGCCTTCAAGTAACCAGCCCTTCTGACATACAGGGTCTTATACCCTGTTTCCCCCAAAATAAGATATCTTCTGATAATAAGCCCAATCGGGCTTTTGAGCGCATTGCAATAAGGCCAAGCACTTATTTCAGGGTTCAAAAAACTATAAGACAGGATCTTATTTTCGGGGAAACATGGTAGATGATAACCAGCAGCATGAATTGCGCTCAGAAGCCAGTGGAAAACCAATATAACTTGCAAAGCAACAGAGCTCCTTCTCCCGGGCGATCCGCAGGTAGCAGGAAAACACAACAGGACACATGCAGAGTCTTCAGTAAAGTTTGTTTAATGCTAGTGAGAGCTCCGGAACAACGCTGAGCTCTATATTAGTTTAAAGTTGGTGCTACGAACATCCGCTTCGTAGCGCCCTTTATACTGTTGCCCCACCCTTCCCTTATTACCGGGCGATGGATAGCAATCAGCTGTGAAGCGCATTCATGCGCGATCCCCTCTTCCTGCATTTTTTCAGTTATGTGGGCGTCCTGGTAGAAAGTCGAGTACCCCCTCGCCTTTCCCTAGACCGACGCTTCGTCCTCGTGGCCGCCTATTCCCGGTGCCACTGCCACCACTTTGTTTGTGTGTTTTCTGTTGAGTGTAGTCCTGCGTCTTTGTTTGTCCTGTTTTTTGGGCGCAGTCCTGTGTCGTCAGGTACGTGTGCATATTCTCCTCCTCCTCCTCCCCATCCCATTATTGTCAAGTGGAGGTTTGGGCTTGACAGGCGGTTCCCCTTTACCAGGGGGTCCTCTGCAAGACACAAGGTAGACATGTTAATATCGGCTTTTGGCTTTAGTGGATATTTTCAGTGGAACCGGCGAATGAGTCGGGGAGCATTCATATCCCTTTCCAATACCCATGATGCCTCCTCGTCGGGATACCCTCACCATTTAACTAGGTATTGTAGCTTTCCCCTGTGTATCCGGGCATCCAAAATGTCATCTATCTCGTACTGATCCTTATCCACCGGGCCAGGGGGATTTGGGGACCACTGAACTGATGTGGCTGGTTTGAGGAGATTCATATGGAAAACCGGATGGATTTTCCCTAACAGTGGTGGGAGTTTTAGAGCAAACATGACTGGATTAATGACTCTGATGACTGGAAAGAGACCCAGGTATTTTGAACCTAGTTTTTTGTTGGATGCCCTTAATTTAATATATTTGGTCGACAAATATACCATATCCCCTACTTTAAAGAGATCTAGCTTCATCTGTTTTTTGTCAGCCTGGTGTTTGTACTCTTCCG